GGAATATATATGCTTCCACACAGTTTCGAGCCAGAATTTCTGCTGCTCTAAATTAATTATGTTGCCTCTGCAATCAGTGCAGCAGATTGCAGAACTGGCCATTTGGATTTCAAGACTGAGAAGTCATATGGACAAGATATTACACACTACAGGTTTAAAAAGGAGATTTACCTTTTACATTTTAATAACATACTAATATAAACTATGAACTAAAAAGTCAGAATTCTTCCTTTTTCTAATGTGAAGTTTGAAGCATCAACAGGAATTTGCAGCCCCTGAGTTCTTGCCCATTATTCACTAGTCCCTACACTAGCTGAGACCACATGAACAAGTGCCATTAGCATCTCACCTCAAGTGAGAAAATTCTGCAATCCTAATTTGGCTGCCTTGGCAAACCTGAGCAGGTATGCAGCACTATGTCCAGAACTGGGGTTGGTTATATGGGACATCCACATAAGGGTTGCAAAGGAGCTTAACTGGATCACTACAGGAAGCAGAACCAGTCAAGCATAGATCTGTGACCCATACTATATTTTTTTCATTTTTCTCAGAAGTAACACATTGTTTCCTAGCTACATGCCATTTATATATATAACACCATGGTGGGACCATGTATAAAAGAGTATTACTCACCAAAAGCTATAGACATGAGATGGAAGTGTGAAGGCCATGCATGTGAGCCACTTGTTTAAACATAAAAATTCTTATCTTTCAAGACAAGGCTATCTTGTCTTTCAATTCTTCCCAAGACCTCCTTATGTATGAACTGAATTTCAAAATAAAAATTGATTGCAGGTGTCTTAAGTATATTTTTCCAGGCCTTCAATTTAAACAAGTTACAGCAATACTCACCTTCATAAAGTTTTTGATCACTGCAATATAAATTCTCACTGACAGCAGCAGAGATCATGGGGACCTTTCCTGTTTTCCAGAACCAGCTTTTACTAATTTAGATCCCATTCCAGACTGGCTGTTTTTTAGGAAGAATTATTCATTTGATGATCCCTAGTACAGCTGCCTACCACATGTACAGCAGCAGTGTACATGTGCAGCACTTTTTAATTTTCCCCCACTTTCAGCCTCAGCGCTGGAACCCATTACATAGCTGGTGTTTCACAAATGCTGTGTTACTTTACCCCTTTCTTCAAAAAACGATCTGTAGTAGCAAGGTGGCTATTAATAACTAACAGCTAACTAATAGCAGGAATGCTCAGAGGGCTGACAGCCTGTACAATGCCAGCCCGGAGAGATGACCACTCAGTTTCTTACTGTGCACAGACTGTGATCTCTGGCTAATGTCATCCTTGTGCCCTAAGTCCACATCTGTAAAATGAGATATTATTTTCTGGCTTCAGTGCCAAGTAAGTATAATCAAACGACTGGGTAATCAGCTATTGCAATAATCACGAGCTTGTAATTACCTGAGATAAAGGATGCAAAATCCCTCTGGATCATAATTACTGAGTCATCTCCTTGCTCTTGGGGGTAATGGGGTCAGATGTGCTGCATGGCATGGAAAACTCTGAATAATAGGCATCATTGCAGAGACAGCTGCCAGCTGATTAGACCTACTTTGAGCAGATGTTGGATGAGATGAACTCCAAAGGTCCCTTCCATCCCAAATTACCCCTGTGATTGTGTTCTAACACTGCACTTCTGCAAAAACATCCTCCTGGAGCACTGAAGACCACGGGGCACACCCCCAAAGTAGTGCTGCGGGACACAGACTGCCTCCATCAGGGACAGACCAAGTCATGCTGGACTGAACTGACTCAGGGCAGCTTGATGCCTCCACCAAAAGTGCTTTGGTACATGTGTCTCCAGACTGATCCTAGAAAAAGTACACGTGCCTTTAGTCAGGACTGTGCCTCCATGGAGCCAATCAATGGCACAGTTTATGTCCACATGAACCATCTAAAGGTAATGAAAGTTTATCATGTTAGGAAATATGCTCTCTAGCTCAAATTTACCTGCTGTGTCATCTTACATCACCACTGCATCAGTGTTTTAGTCCTTCTTGCCCAACCTTTACATGAAAAGTGAAACTAAGCCTTGTGGTTCCTGTTGGCTCTGTGTATGAGCAATAAAGTAAAAGATTTTGGAAATAACAGCTACTGGGATGAATATCCCTGTGATGACCAAATTTTTTAAAACTGTGCATAAAATTGGACGATTTCAAAAAAGTTTTATTAGGATAATTCAATGGACTGTGTCACCAGGGACCTACTTTCTCAGGGTCTCAGAGATAACCATAGTGCCATGCCATCCGAGCAGCACTCCCAGCCTGAAGGCAGCACAGCCCAACCAATCTCTTGGGTGCTGTTTGAATGATAAATAAGAAACATAGGACATTAATTTATGTATCAAGGTCTACACTGCCTCTAGGTTTAAAGAAAAAGGAAGAAGAAAAAAAAACATTTTAACATTTTTGATAGGGTTGATCACGACACAGACTTCATCCTACATGTGTTGTACTTTTCCATCTGTGTTACAGCTCATGGGGTCCTGGCCAAGGTTCCATGTTCACATTCTCAATTGCAGTTGTAGCTGCGACCCTTAGTTTGGTAACTATTTTCTTAACTGCTATATAAACATCTGTGAATGCATATACAATATTCAGTAAAGCAGATGACATTTGCAGTGACCAGCTGCCTCCAGTCATGAGACAAGATTGCACATGGCCACAGCAAAACAGAGCACCCAGAGGCTTGCAGGGCTTACACAGTCGGGGTGTGGCTGAAATGGGCTGGGGAGAAATGACATCGTCCATGCCTGGGGGGCTGCAAATGCACTGCCCAATGGCTTGTTTCTTCCTCAGTCAAAAGCCAGATTCCTGGGGCAGAAACCAAGTCGTGCCTTGGAATAATTAGCTGGCACACAAATTACTGCTGCGTTTTAGATGTTGGTATTGAAAACAACACCATTTGGACCTCAGAAGTTAGGTATATATTCTGCTTGTCTCTAAACACTTCACAAAGCAGCAGGTCATAGCTCCCTGGTCATAGTTTTTGAAGTTTAGCCTCTGGTAGTTACAGACAGAAAGCTGGACGGGCTCTGATACACCCTGCTCACGGGAGTGCTGCCTGCAACCCGGGCGTGTGCGAGCAGTCCCGTGTGCCAAGCCTTGTTCCTACAAACCAGATCACAAGGTCTCCACATCATAAAACGAGAGTAAAAGTAAAAAATCCTAGCTATTTTCCAAAAATAGAAAAGATGAACCAGGAGAGACGGAGAAAAAGCATCCTTGCTGGTGGTTTAGCAGAGAGGGGAGAGGTCCAGCATGGCAGGTGACAACAGGCTCAGCTCTGCCTGGCTGAGCAGGGCAGCTCTGCACCCACCTGTGGGAATGAGTCCTAGGTGTGAGACTTGAACCCACTGCAGACAAAAGGTGTTGTGGTATCTTAAGAATAACACTTGTTCTCACAAGAGTTTTAAAGTAATAGCTTTCAAACATGTATTTTAATTAAAAAAACAAAACAAAACAAAACAAAAACAAAAACAAACCCCAATGCAAATAATTTGGAAGTCAAGATATACATGTGTGATTTGACACTGCATCATATTTTGAAAATGTTAGTGGAGAAAGAGAAGATGAAAATAGCAGGAGCAGCTGAAAAGAGTCAAAATTAATTTATTGTAGACTTAGGGTTTCAGTATTTGACAAAAGAAATGATACAAATGGAAACTAAATTGAAACTGAGGCTTTTCATATTCAACAAAATATATCACTGCTACTGGTCAACTACAACTGGGAGAGACAATTTAATTACTAATAAACGACTTTGAAGTTGTACGTGTGTTTTCATGTCTTAATACAGTTACAAAAAAAAAGAAGCAAAAATAAAAGCTGAACCCAAGTCTGAGGTTCAAGAAAAAAAATGTGTAGGGGAATTTTTCAAGTCCATTGTCACACAAGGGAAAAAATACAGTTGACAAAAGAGATCATTTGATCATTCATCATTAAAAACTATTATTTCCTTAAGCTAGAAATGCTTATTAAAAGGTTTGAGGGTTTTTTTGTTTGTTTGTTTTATCTTTACGTTTCATAAAACCAGAAAAATTGCATTTACAATATTTTAAAGTTTGATGTTAGACTGTAAGCTTGTTTCTCTTTTTCCCTCTTTTGCAACTGAATACAATGGAATGAATAAGGACTTTGATTTTCTTTCTTATCTTTGCTACTCCTCTAATAGGTTTTTTCATCCTCTACATAAAATCTTTGTCCTCATCGTCTAAGAATTATATTACTATATTTAAACTATTTTCTTTATTTTTGAAAGTGTAATTTTACAATGGAGCAAGGAATTTCTTAAAACTTACATTTACCTATTTTAAGCTACGTCATTATTTTGCTTTTCTTATTCATCTCCATATTTGTTCTACTGAGGACATGTTCCAAAAGTTATGCTTGTTTTTATGAAGTTTAATAAGTTTAAGTAGACAAAAGGAAAGAGGGAGAGAAAAAAAAAGTAAACAGATCTTCTGAAGGAGAAAAAAAATCTGAAAAACACTCGTTTTTCTTGCAGGCGATTCATTGCATTTGTGATGTCTAAAATGCTAAAATTCAGTCTGGGTTACATTTCCTGGCTGAGATACAGAGAGATTCTCAGAAAATCGAGGTTTGAAATAGAAAGTCAGCAGTAACCTCATATGGAAGACAAGGAACGCCAGCAGAGGGGACAGAGCTTGAGAGCACTGCCACTTGGGAGCCATGAATTGAAATAGAGAAGCCTGTCATCTTTGTTTTATTTTTAAAATATCGGAAAAAATTAAAAGCCGAAAACACGCATTGTGTTTTCGTTTTGCCGTGCCTGTGCTGGAAGCATTGCTCACATACCCTCCTGGTACAGAGCACACATGCCACGGTTTCTGCGCTGCGATCACTCGCTCTTATGTTACTGCTCAAGTATGCATTCAGAAAAGAGCCAGCAGATACAGTAGATTTATTCTAGTTGTTGAGGTCAAGGGCTTCTTTTTTTTTTTTTTTCTTTTTTGGACTCAGTAGAGGGGGAACGCTTTCCTCATAACACCAGACAGGCTTTCTGCTTTGCAGTCTACTGTCAGTGTGTACCACTGATAAAAAAACATCTGAGAGCATTTTTAAAGGATTTATCAATCTAAAGCACCGGTGAGTTATGGGCTGTCTCCTGTGTCAAACTTAGGAGGCTTTCAGCAAGGCTCAATATCTGTACGCAGTGCAAGTCAGAGGCTACAGCTGCTGGAAGCTCTTGCAAGCCATGTAAGTAAAGGGCTTTATTTAGCTGAAGCAAACTTTGTATATTCTCTTGCCTCGTAAAAACTCTGAGATAATCTAAACTTAAGATGAATTTCCTAATACTAGTAATGTCATTATCCTGCTGTCCCTTTGAGTAATGCATGTGTGTCAGCACAATAAATAAATATCTTACCTTGTTTTGCTTGTGAGTAGTGTACAGAGCAGAATCTGTACACGCCTCAGGCAGGCTCTGTTTGTTTTTCTGATTGCTGACCATTTCTGTTCTCTGTTTGTGACCAACACAGAGAACTCTCTGATTTCTTTGATTTCTTTGATTTCAAGGACAATGGGAATGTGGCAGGGAAATGCAAAGACTGTGTGAAGGAAAACAAAGAGGAGAAAGGCAGTTTATAAAGTGGTGTCAGTAAACCCAAAAGTTGTGGAACTTGTGGTCAATGGGATTCTATATGATTTATAGTGATGTTTAAGGGGTCACAGATAACGTGACTAAGAGAAAAATTAAATGACAGAAGAAATGTTTTGATTTCTTTATAAAATGCATCTTTATGTTCATGCTCATATTTAAAATAATCACTTCCTGTATGGTTATTTGGAACTTATTGCAGGGGACAGATCACCTTTCTCTGAGCTTCATGATGTAATTTAAGGTCAAGAAATGTTTCTTTGTTCTCTCTCTAGTTCATGTACTTATTGACATCAATAGGCCTGGCAAATAGGTGTTGAAATGCCAAATTTCTCCTCTTGTCTGTGAGATCCTCCCTGACGTTTTGATGGCTACCAATATGCAGATATGGTAATAAATAAATGGAAGATGGATTTGCTCCACTGACAAGGTACAGATGGTGCTACCTTGAGAAAAAATTTCATGCACTCAGACTTCTCAGTATCTTCCTGTTCAGTTTCTAGTCCCCTTGCATTCCTTGTAGCCTTTCCAAAAGCACCTGATCCCTATGACTTTGTACCTTCTATTTGCCTCACACTTTTTCCCAGTTTGCAACAACTTTTAGCAGGCCCTTCCCTCCAAACCCACATGTCTGACAGATGCAAATCCTGCCTTCCAATCCTCACGACAAAAATCTGCCACAGATCCACAGGGCAATACCAGTTTTATCTTTTGCAGATACACTGCTGCAATCTCCTCTTGCATCAGGTGCCCAGAGGAACATGGATGCTGCCCTAAATAGCTTTCTACCTCTCCCAGCCCTCCTCTTCATTTATTTATTTCCATGGCAATGCAAGATCTGCATGGGGAGAGGGGCACTGTCCATTGGCAGAGATGCCCATGATTCATTGAAGGCAACGGAAAAGCCTTCCTTGTCTTCATCCAGACAGTCAGACCTGGGTGCCTAAACAGCAAGGAAATTAATGGACATGCTGGGCTGCAGAGCTGCAGTGTGCTGCTTCCAGTGACACTGGGGTGTCACCTCCCTGAGCGAGAACGGAGAAAGGCTCTGTACAAAGAAGTTTGCAGAGAGACAAAGAATCACATCTTGAAGGTGCACTGACAGGAGCGAGTCAGAGATGAGTGGGGCTGGTGTGAAATTCAGTCTTCTCTGATGATGGAGGAAGAACATGTTGTTTTTCAAAGAGTGTTTGGGGAATGACAAAAAGTTTAATTTTCAGTACAGGGATGGGTAAGAGCTTTTTTCTTTGCAACACAGCTCTCTCATACCTAGCTGGTTCAATGGCACTCCAGGGAGAAAACATCAGTTTGTTATAGTTTTTGAATATATGTATATTCATGTGTTCCATTAGTCTCTTGGCAAATGCATCTTTTGATTTCTAAAGCTTTCTGAACCTTTCATATAGCCCTTTGCTTTGAAGCAACAGATGTCTGTGATAAGCAGATGGTTATGGCTTTGAATTTTAACATCTTTAAATAGTTTTGCATATATTTTACAGAGAGGAATGTACTCTGTCTTACTATGCAGTACTCGTGCACTAAATGAAAAGTATCCGTATCTGGATGCTTGATGTCACTTCCTAGCTTGAAAACCAATAAACCACATGTTTTTTAGGATTATTTGTTATGACATATTTTCATCCAATCATTCAACTTTTGTTTTCAAGTTACAAACCAACTAGTGCAAAATGCACTAGTCTGATGTGAGCTCAAAGAGAATAAGCAACAAAAAAGAGTAAAAGGAGCTGCCTCACTTGTGAATTGCTTTCTCACTCTGATGTGTACTGGGAGCAGGCTGAAATCTTCCCCTTGCACAATTTCCCAGAAGAAATAATGTAGTGCCTATGGAAACAACTGAGCAAAATCTTTTGATCTTTTTTATTCTACAGTTTCATTTTCATGAGTTACAGCTATGAGATCTGATGAGTGGAGTATCTAAGAACATGAGATCTTATATCGGGAATAAATTTGAGAACAAAAATGGAAAGAATAGATCTCAAATAATTTTCTTTGAAGGAAAAGAAGTCATATACACAGTTTCATCCAAATGTTTTGCTATTGGATATCAGTTTACTGCTCTAAAAATTGTAGTTCTTTTCTCCCTCTGCCTGACTTTCACACTTGAAGAGTTTGCTTTTTAAAGAAATCACTTGAGACAGTCTGTGACATGTGTGAACTGTTTAAACTTGACTTAGCTGATCTTAAGTATGGATTATTGCACATATTATCAAAGGCTTTGTTAATTATAATGACATAAGAGATGTTATTGCATGGACCCAGTCTTTACACAAGGCACCAGCCTGACTTGAAAGAAAAGAAATGCCTCATTTCAACCAAGCTTTGGAGCTTTTGCCTCCACCTTTGAAAAGGCTTTTGAAGGGTTCATAGTGCTGGAGAGGTGTTAGAAGAGCTCAGTGATGATGCAGGATATGCTCTTTCCTTCTCTTTTTCCCTCATTCTCCAAGACTTCTTGAAACCTCTTCCTTTCTCACTTATTCAGAATATGGTAACCCTTAATCCCAGACTGTTCCAGAATACAGATTTTCCTCTTTTTGCACCTCAAATCAGCCTCTCTTTACTCCATAAACAGCATGGCTAGTGTTCATCCTTTCTGGAGTAGAGAAAGCTTGGGATGCAGAAGGGGCCTGATGGGGACAGCATGCCCCAGCAGAGCTGATGGACCAAACTGTCCCCCTGTTTGGATTTCAGTGTCTAATCCCCATCTCTGCAGGTACAATTAAAGTAGATCACAATGTAAACAAAACATGAAGGTTGAAGACCCCTGTAAACTGATACCCAAGGCTAATGGATGCTTTAATTAGTGCCTGGCATTTAATTGGTGCCTAATGCTATGCATTTCCTGGTGGTTTCCTCACCCAGAAGTCTTCTGGGACCAGTCAGTACCCAAAACAAAAGTGGACTGATCAAACCTAGAATTTTGCCTAAAGAGATCATTTCCTCCAGTTCCACTTTGAAAGATTTAAGATCTCTTCTGTATCCAATAGTGAAGAGTTAAAAAGAAAAGAGAAAAGAAAAAAAATTGTTGAAGTTGAAGAGTTCTATTTTAGTATATTGTTTGACAATATCAGGTTTTCAGGTTTAGAAATCTACATATAAATGAGAAGAAGTTGTGAAAATTTCTGATTGACAGACCGTTTTTCTTTCTGACAATTCTAATTATTTAAAGACTGCAAATGTTCAAAGACTTCAAAGACCACAGGCTACCTGACAGCAGCGTTAACTCAGAGAGTGGCTCTCCTTAATAAATTCTTGCAATATGAACAGATTACCTTCTGATGTGTGACAGACTTCTCTTGTGTCTATCTCAAGATCTCTTTCTCTCTGTGAAGCTCTGCTATCCATTACTGGTCTTGTGCAACACTTCAGCACATGTGTGTTTATGTCCCTGGATACCATGTCTTGGCCTTACAGATGTGAGGACTGAGTATGAAGATAGAGAAAACTGAAGGTAGTTTTCCTGAATTCTGAAAGTATATGTCCATTCATTGCCACACATAAATAAACAGGTTCTTTGTAAAGAGGGAAAGAAAACAGCTTTTAATCCTTGACACAGTCCTGTGTGCCTATAATCATCCCATTGGGTCAGAGGTAGAAATAAACCCTCCAAACCTGCCAGAAAGTTCTCAACAGAAGTGTTGACAAGACAATCAGCAAAACTGACCCATAAGTAGCAAAATATCCACATCGGACCTGTTTGGAGAGCTGAGACCAGTTACCAGGACTGTGGTGCCTGTAATGGAAAACCTCTTGGCAGCAAGGAAGCAATGCACTGAAATACCAGTTTGCAGATGTGAAGCAAGTCTGGAAGCTGCTCTAAGTGAGCTGCTGCAGTGGAGGGTTGTAATGGGAACACAGATTTTTTGTTGTGAACCTGCTGGAACAGATATCATCATCCTTAGTTATCAAGTGACGTTAGTTAATGCAACTTTGAGTGACTGCCAACTTCTTCAGTCCAGTGAAGTAACTAACACACTTGATATCTTAAATGTTGCTGGGCAGGGGGAGGGGAGGGAAATCTGCTATTCCAGAGGGAATTATTTCTGTTATATTTTTAAGATATCCTCTGTGGCTTTTGAGATGTTTCCTGAAATCTGCAATTACAGTAATGTAAGATCTGCATCCAGCTTTTTCTAAAATAATATTGAAGCAGACTACATGGTAACTAAAACAATTCTTTCTTTGAATGTCATCTCTCTTTCAGTTTGTCAGCTGCTGCTCTAGCAAGTAGTTTCTGCCTTGAGGGGCTGTTGATAGTTCATTGAGATAGCTCAGTATCTCAGCTGCCTTGTCCCTGTGAAGTCCTTGAAAACACTGAGAAAAATTTCTGTGTTCACCACAAATTGACTTTGTCAGTTATCAGTAGTTCACATCCTTGACAGCACTGAAAGCCTTTGATGCAGTATGTGGGGAAAGGTGGCAGCGCTGGAAGTCAAAAGAAAGCATTAGGACTGTTTGGGGTTTTTTGTGACAGTGGGGAACCAGATTCAGCATCCCAGGGTTGCAATAGCAAGGGCAGTGCCAGCATGCTCTGATTACTGCCTCTCGGTGCATGGACAACCTCCCCACTACCTGCACTGTC